TTTATGGAAAAACTCCTACCATACAATTTTCGTATATGGAAAAATGTTTATCATAAAGTTTTCATACATTTTTCTGTACGTATGGAATTGTATGAAAATGTATGACAAGAAGTTTCTCATATATGGAAATTGTATGATAAGAAGTTTTTGTCAACCCGGGTACCATAATTTATGGTTACCCGGGATGACCAAAAATACTAGTCATACATTTTCCATATAAGGAAAAATGCTAGTCATACACTTTCCATGCAATTCCATACGTACAGAAAATTGCATGAAAGGTCTATGATTAGTATAAATTTTGCATGCAGATTTTTTTTTTTTCAAAAAATGTTTGTTTGAATACGAAAATCAATTTGCAGTTGAAAAAAAAACACAAAAAATTTTTGGGGGCAATTTCAAAAATACTTAGAAAAACTTTTGTCGTCGCCATCAAAAAATGCTAGTCATACAATTTCCATATATGGAAATTGTATGACTAGTGTTTTTTTTCAGAAAACAAAAATAAAAAAGTCAAAGTTTTTAATCGTAGCAGCCCAAAAAACGCTTAAATGTTTTGCCAGCAGTTGAATTGCTTGTTCAAAGCTTTTTTTTCACAAAAAAAAATTTAAAAAAAAATTCTAATCATAAAATTTCCATATATGGAAATTGTATGGGTAGCATTTTTTTCATACCATTTTTTTCTTTTTTTATGAAGAGATACCAATTTCGATACCAAAATAACTATAAAACACCTTTGAAATTTGATTTAACTCATTTTGCAAAAATGTATGAAATTTGTATGACTAGAATTTTTCCATAGACTAAGTGTATGAAATTGTATGATTAGCATTTTCGGTCTATGGATGTCAACCCGGGTATGGATTATATTTGGTTAGTTCTAGTTGTTTTACAGTTATGATTATCGCAGAAAACAATTGGATATAAAATACTCGTGTTAAATTGGTTCCAGTTGTTAAAGGACGGGGAAATCTGGCAATGGTTTTGCTTTTCAGATTCTCTCCTTTTCATCGTAGTGAGTTTGAGGAAGTCTTAATATACACATATTCGCGTTGTGTAGGACACAAAAACAACACTCTTTTAAAAACAAGCAAATTACTTCTTTCATGCGTATTGTTCGATGAAAAGATGTATAAACTAGGCTTTTTGGTTTTAGTCTAGAAAATATTTAGTTGTTTGAAAATCATAAATTTTTAAACAGTTGAGTCATCTCAAGAATTAGCTGGCTCTCTCTGTATTTTTAGTTATGTTGCTTGGAACAAGAAACGACAACAGTTGGCTTGACAAAAAACCTCTAAGTGGATGGTACAAATGGCAGGAACACGACCTGAAACAACACAATTTCACCCCTTAAAGTATGCAATCCATTGTAGACAAAGTCAAGATGACCATAGCTAAGAGACTACAGTGACTCAAAAATACCTAAATAGCTATCAGTAGGATAAAATTCTAGAAAAATCTTCAGCAGCTGAGTTTTTTCAAAAAGAGTTGTTTACAATCCTAGTGAATTTTTATCAAGCAGTTGATGTTGTAAACAAACCCGCATTCAAATTTTTGCGTGTTTTTTTTATTTCTTCCCTAAAAAAGTTGTTTCTTAACTCAAATGTTAAGTTTTTTATCAGATCATTGTGTTTTTTCATGTGTTATTTCGATGATTTTTTTCATCTTCCACGGAAACTTTTCATTTAATATGAAAAGATCTGTATGAAACTTTTTTTCATGGTACAACTTTCAGACTTTTAGAAATTTTAATATTGACAAAAAATTAAAAATCCATAGGCTATAATTAAATTGTTTTGTCATTTTTGTGACAAATTTTTGCCACTATAAGAGTTTACAATCGCTTATAATTGATTTTAAATGACTTAAAAAGTTTATTGTATGAACTATAGTCAATATAATTGATTTCGAGCGATTATGATAGTTTGGAAAATATCATGATTATAATTGACTATAAATCCTGTAAACACCTGATTTTAAAAATCAACAACCGTTATAATCAATTGCTTACGCCTAAAGTTGAATGCGGGAAACCAAATTTATTCAAACTTCATTTTAGGAACTTGTTGGCCAATTCATTTTGTGATTTGCTCCAAACAGTAAGACTGAGACACGAAATGTGCTTTTTTGTATTCTTCGTAGAAGGAATTCAATTTTCAGTCAGCTGAAAATCTACCTCTTCCATTATTGGTGATTATAGAGTTGTCCGATACTTTTGAATTTTTGAATCTCATATTTATGAAAGAATGTCGGAAAAGTTTTCAAAAGGTCGAACAACTCACTCACTCAAAAAAGTGCCAAATAAACAAAGTAAGCTAATTGTTGATATTAATTCCTTGCACGACTCAAAATACACAACTTATTCTATGATATTGGTTGTTGAGGTTGTTGTTCCGACTATTTGAAAAATGAAGAGGATCTTTGGTTTCGGGTTTGGTTTAGTTTTAATATATTTTATAGTTTCCCACGCAGGTTCCACAAATAAAATTAAGTACCACAAATAATCATCACAATAGTTTGAACGATATATCATATTAAAATTCTTTCAGTCGCGATTTGAACAATTTCTTAAAATTTCCAAAAAATGCCCAGTCTCGAAAAGTCTGTTGATTTTTGTCAACTTTCGAGCAAGAGAAGCGAGCGAGCAGATTTATTTAAGCAATGACGACTACATTAGTTTTTTCATCATCAATTAAGACCGTAAAAATTTAGTTTAACTTAAGAAAACTTAGCTTTTTGGAATTTTTTTGATATTTTGGGCTAAAAACTTTTTGAAACTTCTTTTTGACCTTTTTGTTGAACATTTTATTGTTCAGATTGCTTTTCTCAGCAGAAAAAGACAACAGTGATTTTAAAAAAAGAATCAGAAAAAAATCTTAGGACTGTGGTCGGAACGTTTTGGGCTACTTGCACAGTAGCAAGCTATTCTTGTTTAATTTTATTGTGATAAGAGCACTACAAATCGACATTGAGTTCAACCGCCTCGGTTGAACCATGAATGGGAAAACTCGAACCCCTTTCACACAAAAAAGCGACAAGTTTTAGAGATATCTGAAGTTAACAAAACTGGCAGTGCTTTAGCAATGCTTTGGATGATCATGGCAAAGAGGTGAGTTCTAATGGATTTTAAGTGGTTTGAAAAGAGGTCAGATAGAGTAAGCTTACGCGAACGAGAGTACCCGGGGTTTGACTTATGTTTTGATCGAACTCGATTCGACACATGAATGTTGTTCCAACCGAAATCCAAATTTAAAATACACCTTTCGGTCGAACACCTATTCGAAACATAGCCAAACACCGTTTCGAGCTCTAGACGAACGCAAAGTCGAAGGTAATGTATAGTCGATTAATAGTCGACACAAAGTGTCGTCTAAACATAGTCGAACAAAGAGTCGAACACAATGTGTGGTCGAAACATGTTCAACCACAATCTCCAAGCATAGTCGATACTCATGATCTTAGAAAAAAGTCCGAGAGATGATGTTTATCCAAAAGGTAACTAATAATGAAGATTTGATGTACTAAGAAATAAAGTTTCAGGTTTTTGACACATCCAAATCGAAAACTTGATCAGTCAAAAAATAAGTATAGACCTGTCACAATTAAGATAACCAAACTATTTTACTATTCAGTTGTGAAAAACATCAGCATAGGTCATTTTTTGAATTGCATAAAATAAACTAAATTTTAAACTCAGTTGGTCGAAACATAGTCAATTTCAATCGAAAACAGTCGAACACATTTTCCTTTGGTCGATTCGGTCAAAACATTGATAGTTTGGGTCAAATCGGTCAAAAAATAGCACGCTCGGGTCGAACACAGTCGAGCACATTTTTTTGGTCGATTCGGTCCAAAGAAAGCATTTTTGAGTCGAACACAGTCGAAAACAACTTTCCGTCAATCGAGTCGGTCAAAAAATAGCACTATTGTGTCGAATACAATCGAACACAGTCGAACAGAATCTTCCTTTGATCAAGTCACTCAAAACATAGCACGCTTTCGTCGAACACAGTCAAACACTTTTTTCCTTCGGCCGACTCGGTCAAAACTTAAGTCAAGCACAATCGAACAGAATCGAGCATATTCTTCTTTTGGTCGAGTCGGTCAAAACATAGCACGCTTGAGTCGAACACGGTCGAAAACATTTTTCCTACGATTGAGTCGTTCAAAACATATCAATCTTGGGTCGAACACAGTCGAACACATTCTTCCTTCGGTCGAGTCGGTCGAAGCATAGCCAGTTTGGGACAAGTAAGAACATAGCACGATTAGATCGATACAGTAGAACACATTCTTCCTTAGGTCGAGCCGGTCGTAATACAGCAGGCTTGGGTCGAAAACTGTCAAACATACTTTTACTTTGGTCGAGTCGGTCGAAATATATCCATTTTGGGTCGAGTCGGTCCAAACATAGCATTCTTGCGTCGAACACTGTCGAACATACTTTGACTTTGGTCGAGTCGGTCGAATTATATCCATTTTTGGTCGAGTCGGTCCAAACATAGCATCCTTGCGTCGAACACTGTCGAACACATTTTCGTTTTGATGAGCCGGTCGAAACATAGCCACTTTGTGTAGAGTCGGTCAAAACATAGCTGGCTTGCGTAAAACACGTCGGTCGAAACATAGCCACTTTGGGTCGAGTATGTCAAAATATAGCCATTTATAGTCGAATCTGTCAAAACATAGCCATTTTTAGTCAAGTCGGTCGAAACATAGCCATTTTTAGTCGAGTTGGTCCGAAACATAAGTCGAACACCTCAACACGGGTATTTCAAACGACACTGCAAATAAAATGAAAAACTTGTATTAATACTTAATATGATAGTTGCGTTCGACGGTAGGTTATATTTCATTTGTGTTCTGACGCGTAAATCAATTCTACGGCATTTACTGCTGAGTTCTGAATTACACATTTCAGTTTTGACTGAAACAAGCTTTAAAAATTCTTGGTGCTTGTTCTCGCTGCGTTGAATAATTTTTGTTTAACCGTGTATTTATTCAGTCGTGCATCATTTTCAAAAAATGTATTTGTAGTTTATTGTTGGTTCGATGAGATAAAATTGAAGTTATTCTATTTGGTTAGTCAGTGACGAGCCGCAAACCAAAAACTCTTCAAAATGAGCCACAAACTGTCATCTAAGTTGTTCATAGCCCTGTCGCTTCTGGTGCTTCTGGAATTTGATTGGGTCTTCTCTGGAACAGGTAACCTCATCATTTCACTAAGCTAGTTTTTTTTCTGCAATGCTTCTTAAGTAACTCTAACTAACTGATTTGTTTATTTTTCAAAAAATTCTTTTTTAATTATTAATTATTGATTTACAGAATTTTTGTATGGAGGTAACAATTTTTAAACGACAGGGTTAGATTTTGTGTTGGGATACCTAGGATCTCTCTCTCTCTCTAGTTTAGATAATTGCAAACGGTATCTTCGAAATACGTATAATTTTACAATTATGCAGATTCAGAGGCTTGCATGTTGGAAGTCCAAGCTGAAAAAACTTTCAAATCATATGAGTCCGGATCCCAGCATCTCAGCTGCAACTCATCATGTAATGAAGTTGAATGCTCATTTATCAGCCACGGAAGCGAAACCTTTTCGTTCCGAGTCAAGCTGATATGTGCGACAAAGGGAAATTCTGGAGTGCATTCCCAAGTGGTAGATCTGACCTCGAAAAGCGACAATCAAACGTTTCGTCTCATGAGTCTGGATTCCTTCATGAGGAATGAAACTGTGATGTTTGATAGCACAGTTAAAGATGGTTTGCCACAGAGCTATCCTTGGGCTGTTTTGCACACAGTTCACGAAGACGATGAGAAGGGAAAGTTTTATCTGATGGTCAGTTTTATTTTCAATGTATGTTTATAGTAGTAAGCTCATAAGCTCAAAAATTTTTAACCCAAAGTCACAACCAATACTGAAAAAAAAATCAAGGATGCAATTTCAAAGGTATCCATTTTTTCAGAGGGAAAAATTTTACAGTCGGTCATATTTCGTGTTCAGATCTCAGTTGGCAAAGCAGTTGGAAGTGCCTCGATGGATTTGATGGCCCTGAAGCCAAGCGCTTCATTCAGCAGAACCATTGAGAAGTATGAATTTATCTGTGGTAAGTTTCTTTTTGCTCAATCGCCCTCGATATCTCGTTTAGCAAGATCTCCTTAAATGCTTTCCCCCCTCGGGTACTTCCTAAAGAATTGCCCTATGACATTTGCCGAGAAATAACGAGTAAAAACTTAGTTGTTCAGTAAAATTAAATTGATAGATTAGTTGTTTAGTTAGTTGCAAGGGTTAATGTCAGATACTTAGTTCCAATTTAGTTTTTATTAGTCACAACTTTGACCAAGAGAATATAGAGCTTGAGAAAGAGATAAATAGACATCTAACAAACGCTGTGACAAAACAACAGAGTGACCACGCACAGATAGGCCATATCTGCGACCTTGGATAAGCAATGATAAATAAATCTGCAGCATGGCTGCAAAAGGACAAGTTGTCAGCGAGGTACCGAAGGTCGCCTCATGACATTCCCCGCGGGAGGAAAAATTTTGGAAATCAGTCCGAAATTTTGTTAAAGAAAAATAAACTGCACCCAGGTGAGCATTAGATTGATAGCACCCCTATGGCACACAAATGCTTGGTGGCAAAGAATATGAAGCAAAATATATAGCACAGAAAGTTTTATAGAGTTTTGTAGAGTTTGATATGCAAAGACTAGTCAATCGCCATCGAGATTTTTGTTGACTTTGACAAATGAGGAAGAGGACACCTCCATTAAGTCTATCTGAGGTCGGTCATGAATGAGGGGTTTCCGTGGCGAAGGCGAGAACGGCAAAGCGTTTCCTGAGGGTAAATATTGAACCTCCTCCTCAACTCGTTTAACAGAGTGGCGTAGAGGGTCGCCAAAGAATTTCGTAGGTTTTTTTTACTACGTAAAGAGGTCCTGACCACCTCTGAATCATCCACGACTGGCTGAGCGGGAAGGGATAACGAGGGGTAAGAAGAATGCGGTTCTGAATGCGCGTTTTGTGAGGGTGGAGCGAAGCCCTCCGGAGACACACGATCCGAAGACAGAAATTCAGTCCGAGGATCTGCTAGGCCAGAACCAGTATTCTGGGCAGCAGGTGGCGAAAGGGTAGCACTATCCATGTTAGGCTGCTGGGAAGTAATTGTTGTATTAGCAAACGTAACAGGCGGCAAATAGTCCTGCAATTTGGGCCGTTTCTCCACTGCCATAGATTCGTTAACCACTTGTAAATGTTGGGAGGATCCGGACGAGCCCTCCCTAGAAGAATCAGCTGTAAGATCCACCACCATCGGATTAGACACACTGGGGACTTCCGGCCGTTTCTCCCACATCATTGGTTGAGAGTGAGTAGCTGACCTTTTGACCGCACTGCGAGAGGTCGATCCTGAGGCTTGAAGACGTTCATTTAGTGTGTTTTGGCCAACTGAAATGTTATAACGAAAGTTAGGCTTAAGGCAAACATGGCTTTTACGATAAACTTTCCCTTTGTCAGTAACATAAGTTTGATCGGTAACCTGAGTAATCTTGAATTTAGAAGTCTTAAAAAGAGGCTTTACGGACTGACGATCTATAATTTTCTTAGACTCTAACTCGACTAGGATCGAATAAGAGACGGGTTTTCAATTTACTTGTTTTTGTCGGACGACGAGGTTGCAGAGCTGGTAATCTACTGGAACTAGTCTGAGCCCCTGGGGGCGTAGAACCAGACCCACACTCCGAGAAACGAAGCGTGTTACGAGTAAGACCCGTCTTCAGGGAATGGGCAAGTTCCGAATGACGGCTTTCCCCCATCCGGCGGGAGGTTTCGTTTGTACTGCGTCCACTTATTTGCCACCCGAGCGAGTTCGGCTAGTGCCTTGTAAGGCTCACTCTCAGCAACATTACCCTCCAGGGAAAACATCGGTTTGAATCGGGGAGTAATCGTAGGGCTGGCACTTCCTCTGGGTACCACCTTAGCGCGATCCCTGCTGTAGTCCTGGCTGGTAATCTGGTCCGGCGTAAGAAGGTTTCGTGCAAGTCTTTGGGCTGAAGTATCAGAGTGAACAACATTATGATAAGCTTGAGACCATTCGGCATTTGGCTTACGACCAAAATGTAACTCAAAAAGCGATTTTTTAAGCACACAATGATTACTCTTGCGAATGACTTCGACTATTTGTTGAATTGTTTCCTTGAATTTACCAATAGTAGGATCAAGTTTTGCAGTACCCAGTTTTATCTTTTTAGTCTGTATCGAACGCTCGACTAAGCCACTGCCTCTATGGTCTCTAACAGGTGAAAGAATATGTTTAATACCCTTGTTAGAACAAAGTTGTTGTACTAAATCTTTTTTAAACCTAGATCCATGATCAGTGCTGATAGATTGAGGAATACCATGAATATGTATGTAAGATGCGAGGAATTTTGTAAACTTCTTAGTCCCAGTCGTTCTGGTAATAAGAACAGAAGGAAATTTAGAGAAACGATCTATGGCTACTAAGAGGAAAATCTTCGAACCCTTTTCATCTAATATAGGACCGGCGAAATCTAATTGTAATTCCTGATTTGGCCCAGACAGATTAGGTAATGCTTGTGCGGTATAAAAAGTCTTAGCGGGCTGAAGATTCTTACCATACAGCGTGTATTTGCGACACTTCTCACAATTATCGACAATCTGTCGGTTGAGGAACGGCCACCAGATGTATTCGGTGGCTAAAATCATAGCCTCCTGTCCTGAGTGAGAGTGATGAAGGTGAGCAAGAACAGCTTGTGTGAGAGGTTCGGGAATTGCCAACTTGTTGTCAATGATCACGCAGTTATTGACCACCGCAGCCTGGCGCCAGAATTGAGCCATATAGGACCAGAGCTTATTGAAGGTAGTGACATCTTTATTGACAATAGCACGTTTCATAGCGCCCAGAAAGCGGTCCTCCTCAGTGAGTTCAGCTAAGAGGGCAGCATCAAAAATGCCTGGCAGTCCCACAATGTCCCTCTTAGGTTTCGAGAGGATCGGCTTGCCGCCATTAACAGCAAAAACCCCGTTCTTGTCGGCTGTGTTGAACTTCCCAGGTTTAGTTAAACGGCACCGTCTCATAGCCTCCAACAGCTGATTTTGTCCCTCCTTACTGCTCCTTTCTGGAGTTAGTCCTCGCGGCTGCTCGTTCACGGGTTCGATTATGTTGTCGGATTTGATCCATTCTAGATATTCGACCCAACTGTCGAGACCTCATCGGAGGACGCGGCTTTGGTCGTCTGAAAATCAGCGAGCTCAATGGAAAGTTTTCCACAAAAGTGAGGAGGTCAGTCTGTTCCGCCGTTGAGTTGAGTATAGTCTGAGAGTCGATAGGGTGAGTTAAAGTAGAGTTTAGATCGTTTTCAGTGAGTTTTTGAGTAAGTATCAGCTGGTAGATTCGGATCCAGTAGATTCATGTCTTGATGGTAAGATTTTAAAATATGAGGAGAAAATGAAAATGTTGTTTTGGAGAGCATAGATGTATGACTTTTTCCGAAAGATTCAGGTCGGAGACAATGATTTTGAGTGAGGGAAACTGGTCTACGATTTTCAATTAGCATACACGTTTCTGATTGGCTGAAATTCTTTGAGCATAACTCGACGCCCTCTATCGGTGAGAAATTTGAAGGACATATTAGCATAACGTGATTTGATTGGTTAACAGAACGAGTTAATTTTCTGTCGCCCCCTATCGGAGATTGCTTGGATGAAGTCAAAACATGATGCCGTGGTATAAGATTAACGCCCTCTTGCAAAAAGGTCAATATCCATCACTCGAATTATAAGAGCTATATGACTTGATGAAAGTTAAGGCTTTTTTAAAAGCCTCAATGGACTTAACGACAAAAAGTTCATCGTAGTTAGAGGGAGCAGGAGCCCAAAATGTAGGGTAGCGAGATAAATAATCCACAATACTCAAAGTGGCCCCAGAATGAGCTCGAAATCAAAAGGTAATAAACGATCTGCCCATCTAGAAAGACGAGATTGATATAATTTTCATTCAATGCCGAAATGATGGCTTTATGATCCGTCAGCAATTGAAAACGATTAGCCAACAAATAAGTACGAAAGTGTTCACAAGCCCAAACAATCGCCAACATTTCAATTCATTTGTACTATACTTGGCCTCTGCATTATTAAGAAAACGCGACGCAAACGCAGTTGGGGCCCAAACTACCGGTTCGATTTCCTGTTCAAGGCAAGCTCCTAGGCCGTTATGACTAGCGTCACGTTTCACCCGTGAGTTTTTTGAAGAATCGTAGTGAAATAAACTAGGAAGTTTAGCCTCCAGATTGATTATACTTTTGAAGGCATTATCTTGTTCCTCTCCCCACAGAAACGACTGTCTATTACATGCCTTTAAAGATTGCCAAGAATGAACTGTATGGGTGTGCAAATCAGGTATACGCCGTTGTAAATGATTTAACGTTCCCATAAATGAACGGAGCTGTTTCAGAGTTCTTGGAGGCTTGAGTGATTGAATAGCATCTGATTTTGAAAAATTAGGAGAATAACCGTCCTCATTAAAGTCATATCTTAACCAAGTTAATTGGTTAACGGAAAATTCACACTTACTGAGTTTCAGTGCCCAACCTTCCGCATCAAGTCTCTGCATCAACTTCTCTACCAGCTCGTTATGTTCTTGAATATCACCTTTCGTGACTACTAAAATATTGTCCAAGTAGCAAATGAAACCCTCTAGTCCTTGTAAAGTACAGTCCATTGCCTTCTGGAACTTGGTTGGCATATCTGTTAAGCCGTAAAACCCAGTTTAGAAACTGTACGTTCCCATAGCGTCCCCGTACAAGATGTTGAAATTGCAATGACTACTGGTAAAAGATTATAACGGCAACTGAAAGCGTACTTCAAGTCCAATGATGTGAACCAAACCTTGCCAGGTACATCCTTAGTGATAATCTGAGCCACTGAATTGATGAGTTCATGAATGTTTGGCGTCTGGTACTTGTTTTTCCAGATCTGGGCATTCATCGGCTTGGTGTTATGAGCAAATTTGATTGAGGCATCCTTCTTTGCTGTCAACACGATGGGCGCTATGTAAAAATCAGTCGTTTTTTTATCCAGTTTTTCGACATGACCTTGTTCCACTAACAGCCTGATTTCGTTGGCAACTCTATCCTGGATATGAATTGCCAACCTAATTGATCTTGCAAGTCTAGACCCAGAAGATTTCGAGTTCTATTTTCGGAGACGAGGAAATGAATCTCCTCCACTTTCCAGCCGCTAGAGGAGATCGGAATCCGAATTGACCCGAGAAGACGAATTGGTTTTTTTGTTATCGACATACAAAGTATCTATAGGGTATCGTTGAGAAGCTCGATACCGCACTTTCTAACTGCAGAATACCGTACTCTGGTTCGCTATCGTACTCAGCATCTATGAATTTACAGTCGATCGAAGGACCCGACACCTCTTCCTTTTCGTGAACCAAATTCACTCGTCGTTTTGATGAATTACAACAGTTTGCAAAAAGACCACATTTCTTGCAGAGATTACACGTAACTTCGCGAGCTGGACAAGACTTTCTGTGATCCGGAATAAAAGGATTACCACAGAAGTAGCACGACTTGTTCCCGTGATTGCTTTGCGTGTTTTGTCGATTGGTTTGATTTTGAGGATAGTTACGTTTTCTTCGAGACGACTGAATTGAGAAAGTGGGTTTTTGTTTAACTTTAATAGTTTTGAAAAACTGATTGTGAGGAAGTAGTTTTTGGAACTTAGCGGACGTACTAGCCCCCTTTTCACACTCCAGTGCGAGTTTAAAGGTATTATCCAAATCTTAATTAATAATTGCTGAACGTGTACGTCACGAATTCGTCCAATAAAAATATCTTTCAGTGTTTCTCTTTCTTGAGCATTGGGCCAATTACAAAGGGCAATCTGAGCGCTAAGTCGAGCGTAAAATGAAGAGAAAGTATCATTGTCCAGCATGAATACTGTGTTATAAAGCTTAATCCGTTCAACAGTATAGTCTCGTGCCACCTTGAACAACGTTTCACAGCCATTATGAAATTCTCGAAAAGGAGTAACGCTAATATCCGTGTGTGGAAATGAGTCTGCAAAACGTCACTTTGCATCGTTTCCTAATGCGAAGAACAAGCGTAACTTCAAACGAGCCTCAGCTTCATGATAAAACCAGTTTTGGCTGATTCTAGGACCTTTTCTTCTGCGCTCAACATACAATTCAGTTACTCTGCGAACCGCCGCTTGATCTCGGAGGACTCGAGCATTTGCCTCCCCAGCATCTTTTCCAGGACCAACTGCCTCTGGTTTCGAGGGGGGGGGGGGATCGTCGATGATTTCTGTAGGCTCTACTAGGAGGCCCTGAGGGTTGATATTGTCCTTTAGACCCACTGCTAGGAAGAATTGACCTATCCAAGATTCCCAGAGGAATGGCGGATTAACAGATGGTCTTCATTCACAGGAACTGCTGGCTGCGCCATGACATTTGCCGAGAAATAACGAGTCAAAACTTAGTTGTTCAGTAAAAGTAAATTGATACATTAGTTGTTTAGTTAGTTGCAAAGGTTAATGTTAGATACTTAGTACCAATTTAGTTTTTATTATTCACAACTTTGACCAAGAGAATATAGAGCTTGAGAAAGAGATAAATAGACATCTAACAAACGATGTGGCAAAACAACAGAGTGACCACGCACGGCGTGGCATTCGGTATGGGCCATATCTGTGACCTTGGATAAGCAATGATAAATAAATCTGCAGCATGGCTTCATGAGGACAAATTGTGTGCGAGGTACCGAAGGTCGCATCATGACACCCTAAAAAGAACTATTTTGATGGTTAGGTTAAGCATATGTAATTTCGTACCCATTAACGTGAAAGTGCGAAATAAGTAAAGTGATCCGCTTGGCGTTTGATTAATTTGCTTCTGAATTTTCTGTTCAAATTCATCTAGTAACCTTCTTTTGCTGAAACCATAATTTTTTAAAAAGATATGAACAGTGATTTGTATGCTTTTGTGGCCTTAGGTAGTGTGAAATGCACAGCGCGGGCAAAAAAGGCAGAGAAGTTGGAAGAATCGCGAAAGAGCTTTAGAGATAAGGATTTGGAAGACTGCAACTCAATGCAGCTCACAAACAATCCGAGGGTAAAATTGACCTTTTCTTTAGAATAATACTAGTAACCCGGGATGAACAAAAATGCTCGTCATACAGTTTTCATTATTGGAAAAAAAGCTTATCATACAGTTTCGTTCAAAATTCTGTAGGTACTGATAGTTTTTTTTAAAACTCTACGAAAATAATTTTTTCATAACTGAAAATTATATGACAAGCATTTTTCCATAAATCAAAAATTTGTTTTATTTGTAAAATATTTTGTGTTTTGTCCAAAAAGTTAATGAGCACGGTTTTTCTAATGCAAGAAACCCCATTGATTGAGAGGAAGAATTACTGACTAGACTGCGTTATAGACAAAAAACAACAAAATTTTGCATGCAATTTATTTGTCGAAAATCGCTTATTTGAGCATGAAAGTAATGTTGCGGCTAAAATTTGAGAAAAATTTTGCTTTAAGTTTGGAACTTTTACTTCGGATCTTATATCCAGCAAACTAAAAATTGCCTATATCAAACAATTTTCATTCATGGAAATTGTCTGACAAACATTTGGTCGATATGCTCCAAGTAAGAGACGTACGATAAGATTTGTTGATCCGACTATTGAAAATGGGGAAGAACTTAGTTTTCGGGTATGTTTTATCTTTTTCACATAAAATAGATACAACAAACAGTTATCGGAATGGGTTGAGTGATATATCATATTGAAGCCCTTTTAGTCGTGATTCTAACGGCATTTTAAATTTTTGACAATTTTTTTTTCAGTGGAAATCAAAAATTCAAGAAAGATCTGCAAAAAATTTTTAAAAACTTTTAGAAATTATACATAATTTTCTAACGTTTTTTTTTTGTTTGTTTTCCTTGTCATGGATCTAGAAAAAGTGTTTTCCAACTGGCTCATTCTTAAATGACTATCGAATAAAATAAAGTTTTAATTTTTCGTGTATAGAGGTCATCCCGGGAAAATAAATCCAAACTTCATATCAGAAACCGCGTCAAACTAACTCAGCATTCTGCTAAATGAAACTGAACATACTTACTTTATGTTTTTGTCGCTTTCTGAAGTAATTTTCATCATTTATAATAAGGAATTTGAAGAGATTCGCCGTCAATCTTATTGCAAGGTAGCTATCATTGATGATAGCATAGAATCGTAGTTATGTCTCCAACACTTTTGTGACACCGATGATTTCAATTAACCAGTTCAGTTAATTCCTTGGCATATTTTGTTCTGTGTTATTTACTCGCCAACGTAGTCTCAAAGTTTTCTCGAAAAAGCTTTCTGACATCACAAAAAAACTCATGGATCTGAGCTCGTGCGTTGAACTATGCGTGTCTGAATATTAGAAACCAGTGAAAAAAATTGTATAAAATTGTGTTCTCGTCTGTTCAGAGAGTGAGCGTGAAAGTGGACCAACACTTGACCTGTTCGGATTGGAATGGCAACGTGTTCATGATGGCCTACAACGTCAATTTTCAGCTGGGGGGTGTGGCAGGTGCCTATGTGAGGGTGTTCCACATCACTGAGGTGGAGAGGGGTATTGTTAGTGTACCCCTGGTCGAAGCAAAAGGTCGCCAATACTTCCTAAATTTTACGTATATTTAAAAGGGTTCATATTAAAGTTTATCAAAGGCATTGCATCATTTTTAAATTGTATGCAAGGGAAAAATTTAGTTTGAAGGAGTAGCTCACACGCGGTCGATTCATATTGTTTTTGGATATGTTGATCATATAATGTATCTGAAAGCACTGCAACAGAGACCCCATTCCGCCAATTTTTTTCATGCCGCTCATAAAATTTTCAAAACAAGTCCAAGAAGCCCTTTTTGCACTTTTGGCGCTAATTGTCCTGTTAAGTTTAGTATGAAGTCGAGCCGAAGAAAGTTTTTAAATTTTTTTAGTGGGTAACTCAAAATGGATACTGTAAATTTTTCACAATGAGGGTTTTTTGGGCGGTGAAAAAAGGCTGAACTTCATGCTTGGAGAAGTGTTTCTTTTTTGCATTTCAGATATTTTCTTTTCTCCTGAAAGTGAAGAAAATTCAGTGGAATACAGCTATGTTGGAATCGGAATCACAAACGATCTCGAAATTGAGGTATGTGGACAGAATCATTTTAAATTTAGACAATTACAATGGAAAACAATTTGATGCAGCTGGAAATTCAAGGCATTATTTCATCGCAAAAATTGTTCTGTTTCAAGGAGGAGCACGCAAAAATCATATTTTTTAGTCCACGCAACTATTAAGGAAAAGTGAATGCAGGAAACTTTCGAGGGCGTAGCGATTACCATGTCGGTCGATTAGCACGCGCAATAAAAATGATTCTTTTAAATTAGTATCAACCTCAATTTCAAACGCCGCATTGGAAGTGGTGAACGCTTGCTCCGCCCCAATCCGCTGCTAATATACCTGAGAATAATAATGATAGAGTGAACATGAATCAAGGATTGCAGTTTAGCATGTAAGCCGATCATCTTGCGAGAGCCTTATTTTTTGTTCGTGCATTTAAAAATATTAAACTTGTTTCAAGTTGGGCAAATCTCTATTTTTCTAATATATCACGAAAGAAGAACTTCCAGCAAGAGCATTTAACGTAGTCATAATGCAATGGAATTTTGCATTGCTGACGACTATTTAACCACGAGGAAAGGACCAACATACGAGCTGAACAGCTTATCATGGAGAACCGCTGTTGCGCCCCTGCCTAAGATTTACATGCATATAGTTTTTTTTTCTGGGCTGCTTCATGTTCATGAAGGGCCTCGAACATCCGACCAAGCACGGTTCATGAAGGGCCTCGAACATCCGACCTTTCGATTGAGAGGCAGAGACGTAGCCACTTCACCACGCCCCCCCCCCCCCCCCCCGACTTATTAGTCTTTCGCATTAGATAATTTAACTTGTAAATGCACCACTGACAACTTTCTTCCAATTACAATCTTAACTAGGATCTCAAAGGATAAAAAAATTTTATCGATAAAAAATTCAAACCAATGAAATCGCCGTTTTGGTTGCTTCTTGAATGAAAATGGATAACGTATTTTTTAGGGAAAAAGTTTTGGAGCAATTTTTTATGTAAACATTGTGTGTATGTTTATGTATCTTTAACCACCTTATTAACAGAACAGTTTACTGAAATACTCTATATCCTATGTTAGTCTAAAAAAACTCGTGCGTAAAACCTAAATATTTAGCTCCCTTACTATTTTAATCCCACTATATTACACTTGTTAATTTATTCATTCTCTTAAAACAATATCTGTTTTTAATCATTAAAAAAAGTTCCCACTTTTTTTAACCCTATACAACTTAACACCATACATTTTCACTCACTACTTTTCGATGCCTTAGCAATTTAAAACCACTACATTTTAAAAATATATCTGTAAGTTAACACTGTTTTAATCCAAAATGAGAAAAGAACTCACTTCAAAGTGGAGTTCGGTAACAATCAAAGAAAAAAGCAAGAAAAATTTGACCATTTAAAGCCAGAAATTTTTGCGCTACTTAATTCGCATAAGTTTTGAATAGAAATGACCTTGCCAATAAATCGGATTGTTAAGATGATTCGAACCAAAATGATAATTCTTTCAACAAATTTCAAGGTCCCGCAATTAATGGTTTTCCAGACATTTTTAGCCGAAACAGAAACTTGAAAAAATTTTAACCAATTCCAAAAGACTAAATACCATTCATTTTAAGGGTTATTCTCGAATTGAATTTTTTAGCACAGTTACTTTGTTCAGCTAAGCTTTTATTGATTTGTTGTCACATAAACCCAAAGATAAAGCCCCAAGTCCTAACCTAGCATTCCAAAAAAAATGCAAGTGCACGAGTCAAAATTTTGCGTTTATTTACTTTTTCCGGGATTCTACAAAAAATATCTTTTCCAAAAGAAACTGAACAAAATTTATGTGCAAACAAAGTTGAAATTTTAAGGATATGAATGGTTAAAAAAACAAGACAAACTTTACACTGGCTTAAGACAAACTGAGTAACGCTCTGAAAATGTACAAATCAGTTTTATCTTCGTAACGGGACATTAGTTTTGTACTTTTTCAGTTAACACACGGTTTTTTTTGTGATTTTATGGCCCCTCGATGCATCAAATAAAATTAGATTTTGCTTGGAGGCGTATGTTTAGAGTATTACCACAATTTCTATAATTTTGGTTGGGCTCCGCTGAATTAGGATTGGATGCCAAAATGCCATCCTTTGACAGCATTTGTTGTTCTGGAATTCTCTATCAGTGCGGCATCTTGCTGATTACAAAAAGAGGATGGGTATAAACATTCACGGGTTTGGCCCCAGGTTTTTTTGTAAGTAGAGCCGATGTACAGACTTAGCTCGTCGTTTTTAATATTTATTTTCGGTTCTAAACAGTTTCTGTCGCAACATTTCTTGCAGTTTCTTCTCGTTTTTGATGGGAATGAAGACGTATTTGCAAGCAGGGGCAGTACCAGATAAATTAACAAGACTTGAATATAGCTGATGAGACGTTTTGGGAAGAATTTAAAAAGTTCCATCATCTAACCAGAAAGACAGTTTTTCCAGATTTTTCAACCTTTCGGGGTTCTCGCACAAAAAGATTTGCTCAGGACCATTTGATCCACTGTTACAACAGATGAAACTTCCAAAAAAATCAGTGATCTTGAAACTTTGCGCAAAGGGGATGGGTGACATATTAACATCTAGTTGCTTAGGTGTGCGCGCAGCAGTTTGAATCAGTTTGTTTTTAGTTGGGAGGACAAACTGAAAAGCCAAATCATTTGTTACTGGCACAGCTGCACTGGCAACTGAGATAAATGGTGTAAATCTCTCGCTGAGATCTGTTAAATGCTTGATGACGTTTCGGGTATCTGGTTTTGCCGCTGATGTTTTGTCGCTGATATTTTGTCGCTGGTTATGCTTTCCACGCGTCTCGATCAAATCGTTATTTTCTGTTATAAAAGATGCTCGACAATTATGTGCTTGGTATTTTGAGCAAATCCAGTGTTCGGTAAATTTGATTTTTCACCTGAAGCAAAATCGTGACCGGAAGCCATAAGAATTTGCTTGTTATTTGATGAAACTGTGAATTCGAAAAAAGACTCAACCTAAATTTGTGTTTCGTATTTGCGCTTTTTTAATCACTTGAGTACAGCATAACATGAATTTGAGATTTTTACGTTTGTCAGATACATTACGTCAAACTGTTATAAATAAGCACAAGCAGGTTTGCTTACGCATCATAATGGTTTGGTGAAACATCTAAATGAAATTAAACTACGGTCTCGTCAATAGGAGTCTTAGGTAATGTAGAAAGCTTCATTTTAGCGTGTTTAACTGAGTTAACTTGCTGTGCAATTGATTTTTTTGTACTGAATTGTATAGGAATTAAACTGTGCGGTGTTAACTTGGCTGGTAATAAATCGTAGGACACCCGAAAAAAAATAAGATTAGTAAGCAAAACGCATTCTTAAAATAATTTCGCAATGCTTGAAAATTTTCTGCTCAAGAAAAATTTTGGTAACGATAAAATTTTTTTGGTTGCTTCGTTACAAATTGATTTCTTGCAACTTAAGAAAAAAACTAAACTGGTTAGGCCTCGCTTTGTATTCCAAAAAACTAAAAGTTAACGGCAGTACTGCCGAATCTCATTTTTTGCGCTGTAATTTTCTGATCTTTACAGACAAGAAGAGATCATTACAAAAATTCTTCGTTTTTGCACTTGTGGTCACGATGTGCAAAATTTCAACTGAAACTTTTTAAAAAAGTTTTTCTATTTTTCTTTCCTCTGAAAAATTAAACAGATATAAAAACAGCTAGTTTTGTATATTTTTAGTTTCGACTCTGTCTCGTGTCGTAGGCGAATGTTTAATACGACTCTGAAGTTTTTTCAAACTAATTTAGGGCGGGTCAATTAGCCACATACTAGTAGTGGATTAAAACACGAACTATATCGCTTTTGATAAGGACAACTTGTGTTTATAAAGAAATGACAAGTTCAAACAAGAATAGTTGGTTACTGTGCAAGTGGCACAGACTGTTCCGACTGTAGTCTAAAATTAAAACGAAACAAAATAAATTTTTTTCTCAACTTAATGTCATTTTTTTTCTGCGTGATGTGAAAAAAAGGATCAAAACGAAAAACCGGAACTAAGAATATTCGACAGTTTTAGAAAGACAAGCAAAAATTATTGAAAAATGACTCAGAAAACATATTTAAAAAAAAAACATATTCAAAAAAACTTCAAAAACAGCTTCAAAAAAACTAAGATTTCAGGGCCTAAATTAAGCAAAAATAAGCAATTGTAAGCCTGCTCGCTCACTGTATTCCTAGCATTTAGACTTAAATTCAAAAATTTTAAACCTGTTTTTCTCGATACTGGGACAACTTTAAAAAAAAATATTTTGAAACTTTTTAAATAGGATAAATTCCCATTAGGATATATTCCCATTCCAAAAATTATACGTGGAATCTGGTGTTGCGTGAAAAAGAAAAATAAAAAAAATAAAACACACCAGAATGCAAAATTCCTCCCCATTTTTCAGATGGTCCGAACAAACATTTTCAAAAACTTTCGAATAGTTCACTGCACTACAGGACAGTGGAAATATTCAAGGCTTCTTCATTCCCTAGATGAGAATTGGACGTCATGTTTCGACCTAAGTGGTCAAAACAGATGCCATTATGCCAGAATGATAACTTTTTTTGTTTCTTTCAACTTATTCCGAAAGTCGACATTTTGATCGGCTTACATTTTTCCTCCCACCAAGTTGGATCCCCATAATAGTAAAATCCAAATAGTGTCGGGTATAATATGTCGGTATTTCTAGTCGTGGAGCTAATTTAAAAAGCACCCTCCAGGTTTGATCTCCAAACACCAAAAGAGCTAGTCAACTTATTTCAAAGAACTTGTCTATAAAAAAATGCAATGCTAGCAGTTCTAATATTTAATAAAACGACTAGCAAGTTTTGGTTATCTAAATGACAATGACTTCTGTTTGATACCAGAATAAAATTCCCGTACCCAGCGGATTTTCTGCGCAAGATCTGAAATTCTTTATTTCTTATATTAGTTGAGTCTCAGATCTGAAATTCTTTATTTATTCTTGACAAGAATTTGAAAATTCCAGATGTGAATTTTGGATCTTAAATAGAAAATTTCAGATCTGAAGCAGCCTTGAAAAACAAGATTTTAGATCTGAAATTAGATCTCAGAAACCCTTTGTCAAATTGTAATTTATGCATTATGAGCAATTATTTTTTTTGTGTTTCTGCAATACACAATTAGGTTAAGATTAACTAGCGGGGAAAAAACTTCCGAGTAATTTCACATAGACTTGTTTTTGAACTAAATTTCTTGTTTAACTGTGATAAAAAGTTTTCAAAAACTGCTAGAAGACCTAGCATTTTTTTGATCTATGCGCTACTTATGCGTTTTTATGTTTACCTCATGCTTGGGAAACATATTTTGGCAGTCTTCCTTTGGAGGCTATGCTGAGTACCTGCTAGTAGCTAGCAGAAGCTATCAAATACAAAGGTATTAAAAATTGCGAACATTGTGTTCAGATCTAAAATAACCAAGAACAAAACAAAAACTCAGATCTGAAATCAGAACTGAAATAACCAATTTTTAAATTATCCAAGCGTTATTTTAACATTTCAAAACCTGAATATTAGATCTGAAAAAGATTATTTCAGAACTGAAATAGAACATTTACTATGTACGGGTTGTTATATTTTTATGTGGTTTGATAAACTAAAACTTTTTAAAAACTCATTTTCAAAAAGCTAAGGTTAACAATCGTGGCATACTTTTTTTGTTTGTACATATAGAGTTTTTAGCCTATCGAATTTTCAAAATTTTTTTTAGCCATAAGCAAAAAGTTACATTTTTGTTATACCTATGTGTGCAATTCAATGCATTAAGTGAGATGGCTGATCTCCTTATGCATATTATCTATGTTATTTTGCCATTGATCTTAGGTTTCTACAAAAACGAATTCTCAAAAACGAAATTTCAAAATAAATAAAGAGCAAACCTTTAAAAAGCAAAGAAAAAAAAATTAAGTTATATTAGTTATTTGTTTTGAAAAACGCATGTAATTTGTTTTCCAGTTAACGTCAATAAAATTTTCTTTTTGAACAGTGCTAGTCATACAGTTTTCATTAATTTTTCAAATCTATGGATTTTGTTTTAGGCTATTTGGATCTCAAAACTGTACGCAAACTCTTCGCAAGCTGGAACTGAAACCAAAGATGAAGATGTGAAGCCGACGATTAGTCAAATAAGCGGCAAAATGCATCTGAGCGGAGATTGTGGTACAATTTTATCTTTTTAAATTTTTGGGGCTTTTTCGAGTACTTCCATTTTGATTTTGTCTGAGAGTCGATATAGAAATTACCATATTAATTTTTTGGATGTACTGAACTGCAAAAATGTATTCATGTGAACAAGTGAACATATCTCAAAAATTTTTGCTTTCATTTTGCTGTCGGAATTGTTTTTAGTTTGATTTTACGAGTGGTTGGAATACTGTTAAAGAATTGCTCTCGGTAATACCAGTACCTGTTGAACAAAGTCATAGCAATCACAATGACTTTTGAAACATTATGAGTTATTTCACAGATAAAAAATGAAAAAGGAACAAGGATAGCTTGTTACTGTGCAAATAGCACGAAATGTTCCTATCATAGTCTTAAAAATTACAAAAAAAAATGTTTTTTAAATTAGTATCGTTTTTTTTCTGTGTGGGGTGATAAAAGGATCTGAATGAAAAATCACATATGAAATAGGCATATGCGACAATCATAGTAAAATAGGCAAGTTGGACGGCAGTTTTGATGGAAAACAAAAAAAAATCGTTAAAAACATCAAAAAAAATTTCAAATTTTTTTTTGAAAATTTGATGAAGTTTTTGATTCCCAAAATTTTGTTTAAAAAAATTTTCTCATCTGAAACTAGTTTTTTTTTTGTGAATGAAATTGAGCATATAAAATCAGACTCGAAATTAGAGCAAAAATCAAAATTTCAATCCATCCAGTCCGATGATTATATGTGGTACCTGATTTTGCGTGGAAAACAAAAAAAAAATAAAAGGCACCCGACTACAACGTTCCTCCCCATTTTCAATGGTCGGAACACTAATTCCAAATGGTTATAATCAATGATAAAAAAGGACGACAGACGACTGTCTATTTACGACTCGGTTTTGTAGGACATAAGATAAGGATTTTGTAGCACTTGAGTCGATTCTCATAATAGAACTGAGATTGAAATTTTACTGATCAAGATTAGACAAGAGTGAATAGACATTTAATAAGCGAATAATTTTAATTTAGACCACTACTTTTTACAGAAAATTGCTCACAATTAAGCCTGAGCTAAATTATTGAAACCTAAATAAAATTGTGGACATCTAAGCTAAAATGTGTCAGTTCTTTGATAATAGCAAGCAAAAAAATTTTAAATTTTTTTTTGGAAAGAGCAAGCCGGATCAAAATCTGAAAAATTTTACACTAAAGGCGTGAAACAGCGAGTTTGTTGTAACTAATCTCAGATTTGATTTTTTGCTGATCAAACGTCCTCGCAAGCAACACAAAAAAAATTGAATCGATGAGCTCAAGTCATCCTCTTCATGGCGCACAAAATGACAGACAGAAAAATTGAAAAAAAAACTCGATTCGGCGTCACTAAAAGTATATATGAATTTTACTCTAAATATTATCGGAAAAACCAAAAAATTGTTCCGCCCAATATTTCGGATAAAAGACAATTCAAATTCATGCATGCAATTCTTCTTAGCAGTTATGTTGACTCAAAATGGTGTTATGTTGACTCAAAATCATGAAAATACATGTAACCTTTTTCAACAGCGGGCCAAGTTTATCCTTTTAAAAAGTAATTATTAGATTTTTTTGTCTGTCGGTTTTTTGCGCCTTAAATATGAGGTAAAGCTCATCATTTTTCCAAACTTGAGTCCGTAAGTTCAATTTTCTTGGGTTATGTTTGCGACGTTGACGTTAGCTATTATATACTGGCTACTCAGCCAGTGCAATCGTCAAGTGTGATACTTCAGTAATGATAATTAGACTGGTGTTCTTGATGCCGAAAAGTTCAAATCAAACTGCTTTCGTTTCATGACAAGCAGGCAAGTGTTCGTCCGTTTTCCAATTTCCCTCGCATCTTGAGATTTTCTTATATTAGAGTAAACGCGTGCTTGTGATCACTTTACTAGGCGACGAGTTTTATCTAGAGCTCGGTCACCACTGTCGGGCCGCTCGGTTCTCTTTTCATTATGAACACGCCCGATCCTTTTTAGCTGGTACCTGCATTCGAAGATTATTGTGCAAAAATGATATTCATCGGCTTAAGGGCCCGTGATTGAAACTGTTATGTCATAGTCTTGTTGTGCCGACTATTGAAAATAGGGAGGAAGTTTGTCTTCGGGTGTGTTTTAGTTTATTCGTTTTGTTACATACCTTTGGGCTAACTTCGAGCGAATAAAGTGCGCGAGCAGTCCTATTTCATCCAAAATTATTTTTTCATCCAAAATCAGTTGCCAAAAAGTCATTTCAATAGTTCGAGTGATATATAATAAAAATGATAATAATAAATTGTTTCCAAACGATATCTAGTTACAAAGTTATTTATCAATACAAATTAGAATAGTTTGGGAGAACACCATTAAGCCAACCCGGCCCGTTTTCAGGTGTCTCATTAAGCAAAGAATAAAAAAGTAGTTAAATTCTTCGACTCAATGCAATGGACCTTCTACCAGTAAACATTTATTAAACGTAAAACCTCTTCATTCGCACCTTTAAACCATTCTCTATATGAAAAGAATTAATTTTATTTTTTTTTTAGTTCTCGGGTAGTATTTTCTACCCATAACCTAGAAACCTACAGAAACAAGTTCTACTTATTGATCAATAAAATGTGTCAAAGCATGCCGATTAAAACCGTTTTTCCTTGATTGTAATTATCCAAAAAATTATGATTAAAACTATTTAATTGAAACCGAGAAGCCCCATTCAAGAAATTGACCCAGGCGGGAAAAAATTATTAAAAAGTTAAGCATTTTTCTATTTTAGGTGTAATCGACCCTCTGTTGAGTTTATTTTTGTTTATAGCTAACTTTTGATTTGTTTTCTCTTTGAAAATATCACGTTTAATTTTTGTTCAGTAATGAAATATCTCAAGGTATCAACATGGCACTCTTTTCGAAAATATTTCCCGGTTAATTTAAGAACTTCGTACGCGAAAAGTTCTCTTACGGTATAATTTTATTTTCATGCATTATTTCAGTGTTCAATCCATCCTGTGTTTAGAAATTTTTTTTCTGTTTAGCCTTCTGATTTTCATTTCCAGTTCTAACAGTTTGGTATTTGCATTAACTAAAACTCCATATTCGATGATTGGTTGCACATAACTTTTATACACAAATATTAATTGCACTCCAATTAGAAGCTTTCTCACCTGAAAAAACACTCCACAGAAGTGCAAAATTGTGGTTTTTACTTTATCAATATGCTGATGAAAATTCAATTTCCAGTCAAGGTGAACTCCAAGATATTAAGATATTTAAAACATTCTACATCTTCTACTTGGGTGTCTTTTAAAAAATTTTGGCTGGTGTTTTTTCAGTTTTTTGGCTCCAACAGTGTCTCATGGTCTTAGTTTTTTGACACTCAGAGTCAATTTGTTCTTGTCTAACCAATCATTTACTTCAAGCAAAGCCGATTGATGTGCGAAAACAAAAAAGTCTTTGTTTTTTGAGGATTTCAGAACAGTGTCATCAGCATACAAAAGTACCCCTGTGTTTTTTCTGGCTATTTGTAGATCGTTTTTGTAGAGTGTGAATGAATACGGGCCAAGGATAGATCCTTAAGGTACACCAAAAGAGACAGGTAAGATTCCAAAAGATTTAAGACAGGCCCCATTGAATCCCATGTTTTCCAATTTTATTAACAGATTAGAGTGACCAACAGTGTCAAAAGCCTTTGTTAGGCCTGAAAAATATTCTGAATATTCAGAGATTTTTGTTCGATAGCGATGCTGAAACTTCTTCCAACATTGTAAGGATGGCGTCAACAGTGCTTCTTTTTGGTCTGAAGCCAAACTGTGTGTTTCGGATGATAAAAAACGTGTCCAAATTTGATTGAGCTCGTTTAATAATTAGACGCTGAAAACTTTTGCCCACAACTGGAAGAAGCGAAATTGGTCTATAGTCTGAGGGGTCATCATTGTCTCCCTCCTTGAAATTGGTACAATTTTTGCTTTTTTTAAACAGTTTGGATAGACTGCTGAGGTTAGGCAGTCATTGAAGGTTTCAGTCAAATTGGCCTGCTGGTATAGTTTTTAAAAGCCTGACGAAAACAGTTTTGATATCATAGCAATCTGTACTATATTTTTTTTCGACTCTCGATATGAATTCACTGACTTCACATAAATCATTTATTTCTTCAAAAACACCGATTGCTGATGACGGATAACTTATTTTCCATGCAGTTTGTTTTGCTTTATGAAAATGCGGCGCCAATGTTTGCGAAGTGCTCGTTAAAATGCTCAGCGTCCACCTTCGATAGATTAAGTGATTTGGTACTTTCCTTTTTACCTCTCAATTCCTTGAACGTTTCATAAAAAAGTTTTCGCTTTACAATCAGACTCAAGCAATAACTTTTTTCGATAGTAATTTCGTTTTTCTACGGATGATTAGGTTTTTTACAACTTTATTTTGAGAACTTTATATGTTCTGGGCATCCGTTGTTTAAACATTCAAAAAACCTTGTCGTAACTGCCGCTTTTTTGCTCCTTGATTTTTTCAACTTCATTGTCAATCCATCGATGTCTTTCTGATTGTACTAGTAAATGCTTTGGAAAAAAGTATCAACTGCCTTCATCAGGGTCAATTTTTTTTTCTTAATTTTGAGAAGACTTTTGAAGATCTTCGGGATTCCATAACTGCATACATTTGCCAATCTCAAGCTGTAAATAAAAATCTAATTTCTCACTTATTTCCATTTTCTTAAACTTATTCCAGTTTCTAGCAAAAGTTTTTTCAGTAAGAACGTCTTTTTTCAGAAAATTAGAAAAAAAACTGAACACCAAAATGATCAGACACGAAAATTTGATAATTTTTGTTGAGAAACTTGATGTACAAAAAAATAAGTCAATCAAAGTGCTACTACCTTCTGTCATGTCACTCTTGTTGGGAGGGAGCACATTTTGTTTTATAATATGCCATTTCCTATCATAATATCGTCAATTTTCATTCGCTTTGTCGAATTTAACAGAAAATTTACGTTGAAATCACTACAAACTGTGTTCGGTTTCAGGCCCTAGCGGTAATCTATCCAAATAATTTTGAAGGCTTTCGAAGATAGTGTTATTTGATGGAATGTAAACACAGGTTACTACAATTTTCTGATTAAATTGGCTTTTTATGGGAACTGACAAGATTTGGTTATTGTTATCTTTTTTTTTGGTTTTATTATCCTATGGTCTGATCCAGTGTTAACATAGAAGCCAATACCACCTCCTCGTTTATTTCTAGCGCAAATATAGAGAGGTTCGTATCCTTGAATTTGGAAAATATCGATGTCAGAGTTATTTTTGAGCCAGGTTTCAGTTACAAAAATGATATGTGGACGTTGGGCCAACTGTTCTTCTTCTAATTCTTATATTATATTCAAACGCCTTAAAACATGACTGGAACGACATTTAAAAATTGTCGAAAACGTTCCTGTGTCGACAAGAAGACGTCTATTTTTGAGCTAGTAAAGCAAGCAATTAGGCTTTATGACAAAAAATGTTTCTTTCAAGTAATGAAAATCTCAATTTACTCCAGAAAAAATTGTTTTGGGGTAACTTAATTTAGCGCTTCTGTGGTAACAAAAAACAACAATTGGAAAAACTGCTCTGCAGGCAAAACTATATAATATAATAAGCGTTGGTTTCTTCATTATTTAGGTTACTTATTTTTCTGAGTTTATTGCTGTCAAATATGCCCAATTCAAAAATTGTCTCATCACAAGGCACAAAAAAGACGACTTTTATCGTTCATAAAAAAAAACGTTTTTTTTAATGAACGGTCTGAATGTTCTGTGCTGCTTGCAAAAAACCTTCTATCCTTCTTCATTATAAATTTTCAAAAAATGGCTACATAGAGACTGCTATATAAATTGTGTTGAATTTCAACTGATATTTTTTCCGTAAATTCATTTCAATTGCATTTGCCAAAAAGAAGCTAAATTACGCCGTCCAATGACAACAGCGCAAATGGAGCAGAAGAACGTGAGTCACTTCTAATTTCAAAATTGGGTAACTTTTTTGGAAATCTCTGGAGAATATCAAAAGTAATGATCTAGTTTTCTAAAATTAAGTTGGTTCTATCAAAAAACGTCAGCCGTAGAAAGTCCTGAAATTTGAAGAGCTTTAAGTCGTTATTGTTTTCTGTTAATGTGAATGTTTCAATGTTTTTCTGTCTCTTTCAGTTCTTTGACACTTTTTCAATTGTCTGTTGGCTGGGTTTATTTTATGCAAGCTGAGGTTGCACGATCGTAATGAAATTTTAAACGGGCTTTAGTAAACCTTCACTGGATTTTTATGGGAAAAATAGTTATAATGGACTATGCAGCCTTCAACCATCAATTACCCCCCCCCCCCCGCCCCCCCCCCCCCCAATTGAGGTGGGAATAGTGGGCATGCGGAGGGCTTGTGGGCAAATGGTGATATTTTTTTTACTATGAAGATGGTACAAAATAGTTTGAAAATTGTTAAACTGAGAAGTTGAAAAGTTAGAGAAATAAAAAAATAATAAATTATTGAAAACTTTATGAAACGTAATACTTGACAACTACATTCGTTTTGTCAATGAAAATTGCCACAAAAGTCCAAATATCCGCACCATTACAAACTCTACAAAAAGCTTCTAATGAGGCTATAAAGACTCCAAGTTTTCAAAAAAAACTAAGCTGACAAAAATAAGCAGACAAACAATAATCTAAATTAGCCAAAGTTTTCTAATTGCAAGAAAAACAGGTCTCAACTGGAATCGATCTCCCGTGCTTTGTCGTCTGAAGCATTGGGATTACAGGAACTTGGAAGAAAGCTAAGCCATTGAGCTACGGGAACTAAGCCGATAAAAAAAACAGACGAAAAATAGTCCGAAAAAGCACAAAAACTCTAGTTTGTGAAAAAATGCCCAGTCGGATTCGGATTTTGCCGTCTTAAGCAGGTGTTGCCTTGCATCACATGCACCAGTTGTTTGATTGAATTTGAACTTATGAAAGCCATGCGGTAACAAAGCTGAATCTTATTTTCTTAATTACAAAAACGTTAAATTCCCTCCACGTCAGAGCACACACACGAGCGCAAAAACTTTTTTGGACCTAACGACGCAATAAGAAGCCACTAATTTGATATTGGTTAAACCGAAATTTGTTAAGCTCATAAAAAGACAAAAAAATGAAAAAAGTGAAAATTTAACAAATAGAGCTGGTAAAAGTACAACCAATGAGAAAAGCAAATTTCGATTCGGCCGGATTTTTAACATGCTAAAATTAATTGCAGTGAAATATGTTTACAGCTTAAAGTAACGATTGTTAAATAAGCAACTAAGCCGACAAAATGTAAGCAGACAAAAAAAGGCCGAATTTTTTGAACCGGAACATTTACCGTTTGAAAAAAAAAACGGGTACTGGTCAGATTCTAACCCAGGATCTTTGCCGTTCTAGGCGTATTCGCTTCCATTAGCCTAGGTGTGCAAAATAAACTGCAAAGTTTGATTTCATTATGAACCAAGGTACCAACAGGAGTCCGATGAATCCTGTGGAAAAAGTTGTTTACGGGAAAAAAGTCTGGTTTCCAATTGCAATATCCTTGCTATCGCCTGGGTAATTATTTTTGTAATTTAATGGCTACTGGCTATAAAATGACATTATAATCGACTTTTATCCATGAAACTTAATTGGCAACTTAATGGGCAACTTTTATCGCAAAAAAAGAAACAATCTTGTACCCAACGTTTTCTCTCAATCCTGTGGCATAAAGAGAAAAATAGATGCTAAATATTATAGCTTTACTAGAAAAAACAATAAAATTAAACGACAAGGGTTTATTAGGTCTCATTTAATGATCTATTGTTCCTTTTAGAAAAGAAATATATCGAAGATGATCTATCAGATGCGATGACCCTCAACGAAACTGCAGATCACGGTTTGTTAATTGGAAACTACCTAACGAAACATATGGCCTTGTCAAGCTTTCCAGCTCAAATTTTCTATGTTGATTTTTTTTTCAGCGGTGTGCCATTCTTTTTCCAATGCAATCGATCATTCGAACATGAGGAGGACAAACGAGAAAAGGTCAAGAAGAGTTCGCTTTTCGGAGTCCCAAGTGCAAATCAACTGTGTGGCCAGCGGATGTACAGACGCATTATGTAACATACACGTCGAGTCGCCATCGGATTACGCAACTGATGCCAGCTCAGATTCATTCGAGAAGTACGATTTGAAGGTGGAGTTTTCCATCCCTGTTTGTCACCAAAATATGATCATGTATACGGTGTACAATATGACAGACAATCGACAAGTGGTCATCCAAGATGGAATGATTGGCTCGGTTCAGGGGTCAAACTATCATCCAATACCTGGTCAGTTTCAGGTCAACCTTACTCTGAAACTTGCTAGTTTCAAGGCTCAATTTGGTCAATGTGTTCTGCCTGTAATTAGTTTTTTTTCAGTCTACCTCCTCCTACACATTAGTTTTCATCGTTCAGCCAACAACAAAACGATTTACTGTTGAAATAATGTTCTGAGGGCTGTAAATTAGTTTTTAAGTTGTATAAGTGGTGTAATTGTTTGCAGGACCAAAACTTTCCCCTGTTGATTCTGTCTGTTTGCAGCTGGTGTGGGTTCGTCTAAGTTCTTCCTGAGTGGCTCTGTGTATTCCCTGGTGAGAGGAGCTTCAACGAGTCAACTTCAAGTGCCACAGACCATCAGCAACGTCAGTATACTTAAAAGACCCCCCCCCCCCCCCAAAAAAAGTTTTATTTTGTTCTATGAAAAAGGATTAACACACTTAGCAAAAAATAAGGATTAATTCATTTAGACCAATAAAGATTTCAGAATCTTTTCTACTCCGTTGTTTTTTTTTCAGACTTTTGAAGAAAACAACGAAATATTACAGTTTGGGAATTTTCAGTTTTTTATTTCATTTTATTCATTTCATTTTTTTTAAAGCCAGCAACTACTCAAACAAGTTTTAAAGGACAGTCTTTACATTCGGTACTTTGCACTGATATGAGCAATCGTGTCTGATTTAATAGTGTTTTTGATATATCTGCATTACTTCTAATTGAATAAGCTGAAATTAACCTCGATTATTGAATTATCCTGAAAAAATTGACCTTTGTTAAACTGTTTGCTGTCTTATTCCGTTCTCCTTGGACTGGATGAACCTTAGTTGATGGAATTATTTGACAAGATAATATTAATTGTTTTCAAACATGAGACCACTTCGTGAACTTGAAATAGGTCGAGCACACTAGCATGTTGTGAGGGCCGGATTAGGTTATTAGTAAAAGTGGACGACTGAATCGCATTAATGAAACTCAAGCAATCTAATTTTTATGCTTTTTTTGTAATCTGATCATTAGCTTTAAGCAAACGTGTCGCTTTGTCTATAATTGATTCCAAGTCAATTAAGAACCAACTGTTTTTTTTTCTTTTTGAGTGAGATCATGAATTCCAAAAATGATCTATTGAGAAGAAGAAACTAAGACATTTATTTCTCTGATTCAAAAATGTACATATCAGAATTTTATACAATTACAAAATCATTCACCAGGGGGGACACAAAATGGACCTTTTGGTCACTGGGTAGTGCCTTAACGTTTCTAAGCACTATGTACAATTGTAGCATAGACAACCACTTAAAATAACACACGTGAAATTGCTTCATGGCTATGATTTTAAGCTTCGTTAATTGTAATCAGGCACCACCGGTTATGGAGTCCTTTTAGGCAGCCATTTGGTACCATTAAAATTACATAAAAATTGATCATTTCCCAGCCCAACCGCCGCAAAAGACCCATCAAATAGACATGTTTATGCAATCTTTTTTCACAACAGTTTATAAGCAGTAGGGTTTGATTGTTTTCATTGTTTTTTTTTTTGCTGAGTCCTTTACTCAAAGAGGGTTGGTTTCTTCGAATTTTACGTTCTTGATAACATCCGGGTACCAGTTTAAGTGTGCTAGCGAGTTTGCTTGGACTTTTTATGTAAGTTTTCCTCTGATAGGAATACTAAAAACAGACATTTTCTGAAAATGGTTTGAATGCGTTTCAGCTCTACTTTGTGAATGAAGAGTGCCTGTTGATTCTGGACAGAAAGGGGGCTGTGTTTCCTAACCGGGCGGGGGGACGTTCATCTGGTGACAACAGCAGCAAGTGGGAGAGGAAATGTTTCCGCAGGGGTGCCAGGGGGTACAATCTGGTGATGCTCTCGGTTCCCATCACCCTCTGTGACGTCTCAGCCTCCCTCAGTCCAGGTTAGATCAACTTAGAGTCGCAGCTTAATATTCTCAACTTAATATTATAAAAATTATTATCAAGAGTAATGAACATAGTGAAGACTCTTATATAAGTCTTGCTGATTTTTTTGCTTTGTTTTTTTTTCTTCCGGAAAAAGTCTTAAAATGCTCTTATAACTAAAATGCGCATTCATTATTTGTATATATTAATTCATATATGAATGCACTTTTTGAGTTCAATTGAAGTTCCTCAGCTGAAAGTTACGTAAATAGCGTTCTCCAAATACGAACGTGGAAATGGCGCAAAAAAACGAACAATTTGTAGTTTTGAAAGTGGATTGTAATTTTTAGATTTCCAGCGGAGTAAAAACCTTACCTATTGATCCAACTTTTCAAATTGGGTTAATTTTATCAAAAAAGCGCCATTAATAAATTGTTCTAGAAACTCAAAGATCTTAAAGGGCATCTGTTTTCAATTTAAAACTCGAAAGTTGAGATGTTTGCAGCAAAGTCAGTGTTTTTTCTGTTTACTCGCTTTCATTGCTCTTTTTCAAAGCCTGTTGGCTATGTTTTCTATTATAAACCTCCTTCCTTTCAGCCAATTATGTACTAACAAGCGAGGCTTCTCATTCGCATTTGATTAAGTGACCATTTCTCCTCGTTCAGCTACGGAGACAGATCAATTAATCAGATAATGGACACTGCTAAATATCATAAAAAATTTAGAATTGTAATTGTAATTGTAACAATTTGCTGAAAGGTATGTTTGAAATAATTTTTGTTTTCTCTTCGAATTCAGAAGGTGTCAAAACGATGGTTGACTGCAGAAATGTAAATTAAAAGCTACTGCAGAAACTTGCATAAAATTGCTCCAATTACAGTTAAGTTTGAATACCAGCATTGCGGTTCTTTTTCATTGAAATCTATGATTTCTTCCAGACCAATGTGAGGACCTGTCTGCTCACATGGACAACCCTACAGCCGGTGCTAGTTCGGGTTCATTCACAGTGAAGAGAGATCTAGAAATGTCCTCTGAGATGTTTCCGAATGATGATAAAGTTAGCTACAGATGCAGTGTGGGGGACGACCACTGCGATGGGATTGCATGTGCATACGATGTGAAAAAGTTATTTGATGTGAGTCATACTTCCTTTTTATGTTTCGATTGAGTACATCGCGAGGCCTTCTCAGGTGATTTTATGGTTTAAAAGAGAAATTAAGCGGAGATGTGAGGATATAATGCAAATGGACTATCCTGGACAAGACTGCTAAGGCCTACTGATAGCAATTTGCAGGATCCACATTATTTTATTATTCTAACCCGAACTTTTTTTTCAAAAACAGCGTTTTTTTTTCTACATCATCAAAAAATTTGTAAACCAAATTTACAGAAGTCCAAAATTGAGACCTTGAATGCAGTGGTACTAAAATTGATTTTAGGACCAAATACAAAAACTTACAGCGAAACTCAAAAAATGTCACACAACTTCATCTAACAAAAAAATGCTTTTCACACCATTTCACTCAGCGAAAAAAGGTTAGTCACCATTTTGAGTTTTTTATTCTTTTTTTAAGCCCCCACCTGCAGTTTCCGGTACAAAAAGTTAAGATTAAATACATTCGGAATTATCACGATTTATGGCCCGGACTGACTGACGAGCCCACGACACTACCTGTGAAAAAAAAAATTGGAAACTGAAAAGGAACGTTTTGCTGCAAAGCAAAAGAGAAAACTTATCTCTTCGAACAATCAAAAGTTGGTTTCAAACAGCCGGTTGCGCAAGAAAATATGTTGCAAAACTGCAGTCAAAGTAAAAAGTGTTGATTTTAATTAAAAACTTCTGAAAAGCCTTCCTTGTGCCTAGATCGTCTTAAATATGTTTCTCAAGTTTGAATATGGGATCAACATGCACCATGCAATTGATTCACTCCGTTAGTCAACATTCGCATCAATATTTTGAGTGAGGGGCGTCCACCGCCCCCTCCCCTAAATCCACTTCTCTAATATTCTGAAATCCCAAATAAATTTTATAGTTTACAGTTCTTGTCTGAATCTTAGAAGGCAATAAACGTTTTTTAAACTTGATACTGTCGAGCCAAAACTTGTTGCTAGATGCAACTCAAATGTATTTTAAAATGGAGGGGCTTTTTTCCGTATAAATACTCCGTTCAGTTTATCTATGTACAACTAGTTTTAATACCTTCCTCACAAAAGCTCCTCTGATTTTTGAGGTTTTGAATTTGTTCACGACCACCTCTGACTTAAAGGTGTGCTAGAAGATACCAATTAGTCATTGTTCTTTTGTTCAGACTAGATAACTTTTTGTTTCCTGTATAATAACTTAAACTTTAAAACAATCAATAACAAATGTGTTTTCGAAACAATTTTGGGTTATTAGTTGACCTGAGGTTTGTTTGAGTTCACAAATTATTGTTTGATCTCAGAATCTTCGAGCACTTTTCCATTTTGATCAAACTATTCAGTCGGTCAGAAATTGTATGCCACGAGTTATAAACTCGGCCAGTTGACAATAAATCGAAACTGAGATGAAGTTCTTGTTGTTCACTTGGCTGGGTTTGCTGATTTCATTCGGAATTTGTTTTCCTTTTTCAGCTGCAATTTCGTTCCACGTAGAGCCGGACACCCAATATATCCAGACCAAAGACTCTGGTTCTTTGTTAATTTGGCTTGAAGGAATAGAAAACGAGGGCGAGGCATTCGAGTTTTTTGTTAATGTTTCGACAAATAACGAACATGTAATTGAAATCAGCCAGAAAGTGTTGGTTGTGGGATCAACTGAAACTGAAATTCTCTTCCAGACTGACCTTCCCGGGAATGCTTTGATCAATTTTGAACAAATTATAAAATGCACGCCAGATCAAAAGGAGACTAGTGTTGTTGACGTTGCAGACACGTATGTTCACGTGTACGTAATCCGAAGCCACCCACTCGATGTCTTCAACACAGTTATCGGGTGGGTTTACTTCACCTCGTGGAGTCTCTCTTTCTATCCACAGCTGTATGAAAACATCTACCGCAAAAGTGTGGTGGGTCTGAACTTCGACTACCTATCTTTCAACATGCTGGGTTATTTTGTCTACAGCATTTTCAACGTGGGCTTGTACTGGGTAACTTACATACGTGAACAGTACATCGAGCAGCACCCGGGTCAATTGATTCCGGTCAAGTTAAACGACGTTTTCTTCAGTTTGCATGGTGGACTTTTGACTGCCATTACAATCGGAACTTGTTTCATTTACGATCGTGGAAACCAGCGAGTCTCGTGGGTTTGTAGAATCGCCATAGCCATAGGTCTGCTCTACATCGGAACCCTTGCACTCCTGGCAGGACTGACCGGAGTTTGTCCAAACCTTACCTGGCTTAATTTCGTTTCCTGGATCAGCTACATCAAACTTATCGTGACTATAGTCAAATACTGTCCGCAAGCCTACATGAACTACTCGAGGAAAAGCACGAGTGGCTGGAGCATTGGAAATGTGCTTCTTGACTTGACCGGTGGATTGTGCAGCATTTTGCAGACTGTTCTCCTGGCCTATAACAGTAACGACTGGCCGTCTCTTTACGCGAACCCGGTGAAACTGGGCTTAGGCATACTGACTCTAATCTTTGATTCCGTTTTCATGCTGCAACATTACACGCTGTACCCTGAGAGCCACGAGAACAGCATATCCGGGAGATTTTCCAAGTGGTCCAAACGTGGTTATACGCGATTGCTTGGATATGATTTTGATCGAAAAAAAGAGCGTGCGGGATCCAGGCTGTTTCTAAATTGAGTTATTAATGAATCAGAATAATAAACTTTTTATTTGCTGCTGCAAACTTTATTTATATGAGAAATGGATATACTTTTTAATTCGAAAACTACAGATGAAACTTCGATTTCCTCAATTTTGGTTCATAAATAAATGTACGAGAACATCATCGACTCTGTTTCATATCTGCTTCAAATTTTATTAAATACTGAAAAATCAAAGGAGCAGATAACTTTGAAGCTGTAGTTGAAAATTGACGACCAAAAACACAGCTGCAGATCAAAAATTTTTGGGAAAATTTTAAAAATTTGCATACAGTTTTCAATTATTTTAAAAAAAAATATTATAATTGAATCAAAAATTCAATTAATTTTACAATATTAATAAACAAAATAAAATGTTTCCAAACGATATCTAGCAACAGAGTTATTTATTGAAACAGTATGGGAGAACACCATTAAGCTACAACGTGTCTCATTAATCTGAGAACATAAAAATAGTTACATTTTTATATCCAATAGATCGTTCTACTAGTAATTATTTGCTATACAAACACCTCTTTATTCCCTCCTTTCAACTCTTTATATAAGTTTTTTTTTGTTTTCTTGTGTAATCTTTTCTACCCGCAAACTAGAAACCAACAGAAAACAATTTTTTATTTTCATTTCTCAAAAAAATGAAGGCATGCTCACTGAAATCGTATTTCAAAGAATGTAGTTTTCAAAAAACTTAGGATTGAAACTGTTCAATTGAATTAAAGAAGCCACTATCAAAAACAGACACAGGTCTGTTGGCTTGACTTTCATTTAAAGCATATATATCGATTTGGCTTTTTCCTTGCATATATCGTTTTTAACTCTTGATCAATCAAGCTATGTGTCTTTTTGAATAGCTTCTCCGCCTTTTTTTAAAGCATCGTGCACAAAACTCGCTTACGGTAAAGATTTTTTTAATGCATTGTACATGTAATTGAAAACATAATGCGCTTATAAAGAACTATTCTAATGAGTGTTTTAGTTTTCATTTCAAGTTCCAACAAATTGATTTTGTCGGAGTTTGCCTAAGCTAAAGCTTCATATTGGATGATCAGTTGCATATAACTTGTTTTTTTTCTAGTAAATTTTAATTGCTGTCCTGTTGAACACTTTCTCAATTTAAAACGCGCGATGGAACTGCAAAATTTATTTTTTTTTACTCAATAATTATGCTGGTAAAAACTCAATTTGACTTGGAGAAGAACTCCAAGATATTTAAAATTTTCATAACAAGAAACTTGACGAAAGTTTAAAAGTTCAGCGCTGTTTTTCTCCACAAAATGGATACAAATTTTTCACATTTTCAAACAAAAATTTAGATCGTTTTTTTTTTCTCAAAAACAATAATTGCTGCTGACGAATAACATTATTTCCCATATTAGTTTGGATGTTTATTATTTGATTTGATTTAGTGAGTTGAAACTTTTCCTTCTACCTTCCATTTCATTGAAACTTTAAATGAACTTTTCGTTCTAGATGTTGGGACTAGCTTTAATTTATGTCAATAGTTTTTGTAATGTTTATACAGGTTTCTACACTTTTTTGAGTTACTTGGTTCCTTATGTTCATTGACAAGTTTTGTTTTTGTATTCTTTTTGCTTTAGTATCCATTAATTTGTTTCGGTGTTGACATAGATACCAGTTCTAGACCCTAGTTAGTTCTAGCGCAACTATAGAGAGATTCGTTCACTCAAAATTGGAAGATATTGGTGTTAACTTAGTGTTTTAGCCGGGTTCCAGCTAAACAGATAATATATTGACGTTGGCCCAATCGATTTGTTTCTATTTCAAGTTAGTGAAAAATTTGTGGCCAAGACTTGTTGTTTTGTAGAAATAGAAAAAAAAATTAGAATATGTTGCCTCCATGTCTGTTTCAACTAGATGTTTTCTGTATGATAAGTTTTCGATTGGTTTTTTTTACGTTGCTTAAACTCAATACTTGTTAAAAAAACGTTTTCTACACTTTCTATTTTAATTTTCTTAAATTGGAAAAAAAGAAATAATTTTCGTTATAAAAAGCAGAAATGCAGAATTTGTTCCTATGTGCTGTCAGAAATCGCCCAAGACAGTGCAGAAGTCGCACAAAGTGAATGCGGTTCCAAATCTCAGCTTAACTAAGTAGTTTTTCGCATTAAAGCGAAAAGTCAAAGCTTTAGCTTTAACACGCGAACAAATTTCTTTTTTCTTCCTCTTCGGTTTGCTCGGCCATCACTCGCCTCCCTCTTTTCCTTTTTTAATTTTTTGTCAAGTTTTTAAATAAGTTATTAAGATTCTTAATTCACAATGTTTTTAATTTTTCCTCGAAAAAATAGCATTTCCAATTTCACACAACTCTTTTTTGTCTCCTGTATTTGTACTCAAAAATACCTCCTGGGTTGCAGATTCCTTCTGAAGCTGGATTAGGTTGCAAAAAACGGGACCGACTTCTACTTTCAAAAGTGGATTTTAAATTTTAGATTTCCCAGTGGAGTAAAAACGTTTACTTTTTGATCCTGCTTTCTCAAATCGAGTTAATTTTATCAAAAAATTGTCAACCATAAAATGTTCGGAAGCTGAAAAAGCCTGGAAGCCATTTTTTGTACTTTTGAAATTCGAGAGTTGCAGTTCTCCCAAAATTTTTTTTTCCTGTTTTCTTGCGTTCATTGATTCTTTTCCAACTGTCTGTTGGCTATTTTTAATAACTTTTTTATATTAGAAACATTGCTTTTGTATTAAGTATATTATTCTTCATTTATAATAAGCAACCCTTTATAATTGAGCTCAAAGAATTTTCATCTGTTTGGGTTGAGGAAAGGAGACCTGTAAAAAGTTTGTTTAAAAGATGAAATTCTTCTGGAAAAGATAGCTACACCAAAAACAATCATCATTGACTACAAAATTCAATGGCAATGCAAAATTTAGGAAACTGCAAGACGGACAAAAATATGGTTTAAGAAAAACTCGATGAAAGTTTCGTTCTTGTTACCATTATTGATATAAACTAGTGTGGGTCCATTTAATTTGTAATGGTTCCTGAGACGGATGATTTTGGCGCTGCGATACGCTGCGATTATATTAGTTCGGAATAATTGAGCGCAACAATCATCCCATATTGACACTTTGACAGTTTAAACGAATTGACTACTTTAATTTCCAAACCCCTAAATGGACAAAAAATGATCAAAGTAAAAAAAATTATTAAAAAAAAGTTTGCTCAGAGCATAAAATTTTCTTTTAATTTTCAGCTTTCATGCATTTCGGGCGGTTTAGAGGTTTAGAAAAACTTCGGCAAAGTTTGTTAAAAATGTCGAAGTTTATCTGGAAAAACGCAAACCACGCGATCACAAATTTTCAGTTATTTTCTTTGAAGTTTGGAATAAAAAAGTCTGAAGAGCAATGGGATAACAGGACAACTTTAAATTATGCATTATGTTGATTTCAGCAAAATTATTTATCTGATCCGGGGACGCTCAATTTGGATCGTAACGAGGCCTCGATCAATTTCCGATTCGAACACTGCTCAGAAGAAGATGGACTAGTCGTCACAGTCGAGAACTCAGTGACATACAGGTGAGACAGTGATAAAAAAGTCTGCTTTGTCTTTTTCACACTAAATCACAACTTAACAGGTGATGTTAAGAGGAGCTTGAAGATTGAGGGGGCGTGGATGTCACTCTCACGAATATTTAACCGAATGAACTAGCCTATTGACAATTGCTTACCCGGGTTGACAAAAAATGCTTATCATACAATTCCATACTATGGAAAAAATGATTATCATACGATTCCATTCGATTCCATAGAATAAAAAAATCGTATGAAAATCACAAGATAAGCATTTTTTCCATACAATGGAATTGTATGAAAGCCATTTTTTTTCTATTAAATGGAATTGTATGATTTTTTTGCCTTAAATTGGTGTTTTTGCCTTAAATCAAAAAATTTGCAACCGAACCCAAGTGACAAAGACCTTGGATACTCAAAGCACCAAAGGTTGGACCGTCTTGCTTTTACAATGCATAGAAGACGACCTGATTTGTCTTCGAGCTGTGTTTCACAAATGATGTAACAAAAGTAACAAACTTTTAATTTTAGACAAAATTTTTCAATTTTCAAAGTATTAAACATTGATCAGGGCATACATAAACACGCCATTCAAAATAAATAGGATTTTTCGGCGTTTTTGAAAAAAAAATTTGAAGTGAAAAGAAAAAAAAAGCCAATATTATCGTATCCAGGACTACGTTAAGCACACAAAAAATTAAATTTTGCATGAAAAATTTTTTTTTTCGGAAAATGTTTGTTTGCGTAGAAATTTCAATTTGCGGTTCAAAAAAAACCAAAAAATTTTTGGGACAAATTTTCAAAACAATTTCGATAAAGTTTTGTTTATCGAAATAAAGTCGCGGATAAAGTTTTTTTTATCGAAAAAATACTTATCATACTATTTTCATAGAATGGAAATCGTATGATAGACATTTTTGTCAAAAAAAATGAAACAAAATGGGCCATTTTGATCTAACTTAATCAGAAAACGAAGAATCAAGCTCCTTTAAACTTACAAAAAAAATCTTTTTAAAGGTTTTCCTGAAAAAAAATCAATGAAAAAAATGCTTATCATACAATTTTCATAAATGGAAGTTCTATGATACACATTTTTTCCATAGAACCCATGCATGGAATTGTATGATAATCTCTTTTTTGTATGGAATTGTATGATAGGCATTTTTTTTCTAAGGAGGTCAACCCGGGTATGTAAAATAAAATAAATATAAGTAAAGAATAGAAATCAATGAAACTGTGTGTTATTTCAAGCAAAACGCAATAACACTGTTAGCTCGCTCCGATGAAGTTCGCAAACTATAAGTGAACGTCAGCCATGGCCAATCAAAGTAAAATTAACTAATTACAATAAATCAATCACAATACTTTTTCTACTAGGGAAAAATTAGGTGGTACCATAATTTTCTTTTTCTCACTCTGGCAAAAGGTTCGAGGAGTAAATTTTAGTAGAGTAACTACTCACAACCTAAACAATGAAAATCAACAAGAAAATTGACTTTAAAAACTTAGGTTGGGAAGTTTTCAACATATCCGACGGATAAATGAACATTATGATGATATGAAAATAGCTAAAAGTAACAAATTGCGCTAGCCGGAATAATATGAGGGTACAAAAGGTTCGATTAAGCCTTAATAGCACCGACTAAGGTGAAGTGATCGCAATGCTGGAGCTAAATTGAAAGAGTCTATAAGTAGACGTTTATCAAATGCAGTGGAATCCATGGCCATGAAAAACAAACGAATCCAAAACGAGTCCCAGGTTTCACTTAGAATATTTACAAACAACTGATAATAGTCAAATTTTGAAGAACCTTCATGCCGACGTGGTCTTGTCGAATAACCAATAAAATTACGTTCTGATGAAGCCGCGGTTTCGTAAGCTGGATTTTTTTGTCACTGAGTCATGCCTACTTTCTTAGACTTCACGTCCCTCTGCATCCTGATTGACTTTTCCGTTTTGGATCGTTATGTGGTTCTGTGTAGTCGAAAAGTGTCGGAGGTGTTGTAGAATGAGGGTTTGCGGTCTGTCTGTATTCTGCAGCGGTACTGGAAGGATGATAACCGGGCGTACTCTAGAAAACTAATAACGATTTCTGAAGATGTCCATCCATGATGTAGTTTTAGCCAAATGAAATTTCGAAAAATTTACTTGCCTGAAAGATTTTGTTTGAATGAACCCAGTTATAATCCGAAGGACCTGCAAAGTCTGGGTCGATTTCTTCGTCTGCAAAATTTAATTCCGGTATATGGTGGCTTTTTTGAGAATTATAAAAATAAAGCAAACAGAGCAGTTCCCGAGAACATTTTTTAAATTGATATCTCGCCATCACACTCACATAAATATGGATGGGTCTCGTCGAGCATTTTGGAAGCTGTTGTTCGGAGAATATAATGTGGGAAGAGTTGTTTTCAATGTATAATAGCCTTTCAAAAGCATGAAGATCTTTGTTAGTTTAATTCAAGTAAATGCTAAGCTTAGACGTTTTTTGTTCTAAAGACTTGACCACCCGCATTACGAGGCCAAACTGTGCATTTTAAGCTGTGTAAGCGGATTCCGCAACAAGGATGCTCCCTTTGTTCTTCTTTGGTTCTTCACTTTCCTTTGATCAATCCGACAAAATTTTCACATGTTTAAAGACTTGTCTCTGGAATCCAGGAACATACAGACACAAAATTGTGCTCCTATCCAGTGCACAGTTTGGACTCGTAATGGGCTTCTGGATGGGTGGAATGTCAACCGACAGCCTCTTAGTTACAAATTAATTGTAATAAAAGTTGAATTGTAATATTAAAGAATGTTGAGATATCTGTAGCTTTCAACAGATAATGAGAGAGTGATTTTCACTCATCATAAAACATTGAATCGGTTGACAAGTACCGGCCTTGACATAATAACATCAACTCACTCAGACTAACATTATGAATTCTACCATCAATTCAAAACACAATGCATTACGTTGCATAATGGGAGGCACACCCGCCGTACCACACTTCCCCCTTCAAAAAACATCTGATCAACAGAAATTCTAATGAAACAAATTGAATTTATGTATGCGTTTAAAGTTTGTTTTAGCTGGGTCTTCTTTTTTGAAGCTGCTTTTTATTCTTTTTAAAGACTTTCATTCTTTTTCTTGGTGATAGCGACAAATTTAACTCTGCAGGCGACACCGGAACCGTCAGCCCGCCCGAAAAGCCTGGCGTTGATGCTTCCGAAACTCCTTTGAACGCATGACGTATGGGACTGCCATAAAATAGTGTCTGTCTTTTACTGCGAACTGAGGTTCTCGAGGAGGAAGACTCGTTCCCGTCTTGATCTGCTGTAGCATCAGGAGTTATCTTCAGCCGTGAGGTAGAAGTCTTGGTAGGGCTGATTTCTGGGGTTTTTTTAACTACCGTCAAGGGGCAGGACTGAGGTGTGACGTTAGATTCTGTTACCTGGTCGTCTTCTGATGAAATCGGCTGTAATCCGACTGCGTCCGATACTACTTCCGCGCTTGGTTGTGTCGTTACCCTCCTGGTCTTTTTTATGGAGTTTGACCGAGATAAGAATGCCTTTCGGGCATGAAGATTGAGCAACCGGCTAAGGTGAAGTGATCGCAATGCTGGAGCTAAATTGAAAGAGTCTATAAGTAGACGTTTATCAAATGCAGTGGAATCCATGGCCATGAAAAACAAACGAATCCAAAACGAGTCCCAGGTTTCACTTAGAATATTTACAAACAACTGATAATAGTCAAATTTTGAAGAACCTTCATGCCGACGTGGTCTTGTCGAATAACCAATAAAATTACGTTCTGATGAAGCCGCGGTTTCGTAAGCTGGATTTTTTTGTCACTGAGTCATGCCTACTTTCTTAGACTTCACGTCCCTCTGCATCCTGATTGACTTTTCCGTTTTGGATCGTTATGTGGTTCTGTGTAGTCGAAAAGTGTCAGAGGTGTTGTAGAATGAGGGTTTGCGGTCTGTCTGTATTCTGCAGCGGTACTGGAAGGATGATAACCGGGCGTACTCTAGAAAACTAATAACGATTTCTGAAGATGTCCATCCATGATGTAGTTTTAGCCAAATGAAATTTCGAAAAATTTACTTGCCTGAAAGATTTTGTTTGAATGAACCCAGTTATAATCCGATGGACCTGCAAAGTCTGGGTCGATTTCTTCGTCTGCAAAATTTAATTCCGGTATATGGTGGCTTTTTTGAGAATTATAAAAATAAAGCAAACAGAGCAGTTCCCGAGAACATTTTTTAAATTGATATCTCGCCATCACACTCACATAAATATGGATGGGTCTCGTCGAGCATTTTGGAAGCTGTTGTTCGGAGAATATAATGTGGGAAGAGTTGTTTTCAATGTATAATAGCCTTTCAAAAGCATGCAGATCTTTGTTAGTTTATTTCAAGTAAATGCTAAGCTTAGACGTTTTTTGTTCTAAAGACTTGACCACCCGCATTACGAGGCCAAACTGTGCATTTTAAGCTGTGTAAGCGGATTCCGCAACAAGGATGCTCCCTTTGTTCTTCTTTGGTTCTTCACTTTCCTTTGATCAATCCGACAAAATTTTCACATGTTTAAAGACTTGTCTCTGGAATCCAGGAACATACAGACACAAAATTGTGCTCCTATCCAGTGCACAGTTTGGACTCGTAATGGGCTTCTGGATGGGTGGAATGTCAACCGACAGCCTCTTAGTTACAAATTAATTGTAATAAAAGTTGAATTGTAATATTAAAGAATGTTGAGATATCTGTAGCTTTCAACAGATAATGAGAGAGTGATTTTCACTCATCATAAAACATTGAATCGGTTGACAAGTACCGGCCTTGACATAATAACATCAACTCACTCAGACTAACATTATGAATTCTACCATCAATTCAAAACACAATGCATTACGTTGCATAATGGGAGGCACACCCGCCGTACCACACTTCCCCCCTTCAAAAAACATCTGATCAACAGAAATTCTAATGAAACAAATTGAATTTATGTATGAGTTTAAAGTTTG